AAGATTAATTTGTGTAACTACTGGGAAGTACCTTGTGTAATTGAGTCTTCCAAGTCGACACGATACACTTCATTAGACAAGTATGTATTGGGGCAGTGTAAGCATTGTGGGTAATGTTCTATGTATCCAAGAGATTTATTATTTCATTTACAAAGGAAGCACAATTGGGAATCCAAAATTCCAAAGGCATTAAACCTTGCAGAATCAGAGAACTGGAGAAAAATAAGGATGTAAGATATCGTATGCTGAAGTGGTTCAGTGACTTTCCCCAGTGTTCAGTCTAAGCCACTGGGGCTGTTTAAATCCACTTTCACAAAATACTACTGATTCTTTTGCAAAATGTCTAACCACCAGCCAAATAGCCAACCATTACTTCCAATTTTTCTTATCCCTGGATTACACTCTGGACCAAGCTGTACTCAGACTACCAACACCCATACCAAGAATACAAATAATCTTATTGTTTATTTAACCACAAACTTCAGCTAACCTACAAATAAGATTCCTATGTGAGATTAAAAAGAAAAATATGAAAGGGCTGAGCGAGGACTTTACATACTTTGGACAATATGAACATGTGAATCATCAGTTCAATTGGTTGCACTTAGAAGTGTTCATCTGATTTACCACTCTTCCAGTGCATTAGTCCAGGGAAGACATGAATAGCTAAAGCTTCATCATGGGCGAAGCTCATTAAGAAAGTAGCCCTGATCAGCCAAGTAACAGTACAATGAAAGGTGAAGAATAGGTATTACTGATTCAAACCATGCCTTGCCTTTAACTACTGGTATGACCGGAACACATTACTTACAGCTTCTGACCTCAGTGTCTTTGCTTACACAGAAAATATAATGATCATAATGATGTAACACATGCAAGGTAGTTAAAAAATGTGCCTAGGGTGGGGAATGTAGCTCAGCAGCACAGCACTCGCTCGGCAAGTGCTAGGTCCTGAGTTCTATTCCCGGTACAAAAAAAAAAAAAAAAAAGAAGTGCGTGGTAGAGAACACTAGCTCAGCAGCACAGCACTCGCTCGGCAAGTGCTAGGTCCTGAGTTCTATTCCCGAAAAAAAAAAAAAAAAAAAAGTAAGTGCCTAGTATACAGCAATCACTTAATAATAGCTATAGGGAGAAAACATCTTAAATCAGCTTTTAGAGTGCCCATCAACCACGCAGTCACACCTTTTTCTCATCATTTATTGGCATCTTACACACTCTGCACGAGGGCTGTGTAAGAGATTGTAAATCTTGCACTCCACATCCTTCTCTCAATCTCACTAGAATCTGGCGGCAAAGGCAGAATGTAAGGAAATAATTTTAAAACAGGGCCATAGAGTTCAGGTATTTCAAAGGAGTTCGGTTGGAATCTCAGGGTGTATAAAATTGTTTCTTCATCTGAGACAAATGCGGGGGGGACTAGTGATATAAATAATCAGGAAGTGGGGAGGGCAGACACTGACCAAGAGGAGATCAAGGAAAGCTGACTCCAGAGAGTGAGGACAAGCCAGGGGTACCATGATGGGAAAGGGCTCAGCACAGGACATAGATTCCAGGGAGAGTGAAGAGCTACTCACAAACAGTTCTCTGAAGGCAGCACCATTCACAGTGGAACTTAAGTTCTGGGAACCAGGAGGCAGATCTACACTAACAACACAGAGGCTGAAGAAGGGAACAGACAGACAAGAATCACTGGGCACACAGCTCCTCTGTGCACAGGGCCACCTGCCTATGGTGTGCAGAGTTTGAATGCTGCTCACAGGAGGGGAAGTACAATAAGGGCTGGAGGATAAACTGGGCATGGAAATGTAGACGCGGACGGGGGCTAAAGAGCATGCAAGCCCAGAGGATTTGGCCAAGGGAAATCTTGGTACCCAAGCCAGTGATCCTCATCTGAATATTCTGAGGAATTTTTAAACTAGATTTACAACTGAATTCTACTTTGGAGATTTTGATTCATTAGGTCTGGGGTGGGATCCAGGTAACAGCAAGATAAGTAGTTAACATTAGCTAATATGCTTTAGCACCCAATCTACGGCTAGCATCGTGCTATGTGTTTCAGCTTGGTAACATATTTAATCCTCCCCATCCTCCCATGAAGTGGGCAGTCTTCTTATCCACATCTCATTAAAGATGAGGAATTGAAACAGAGAAGTTAAGTGGATTAACTGGAATCAATGAGAAGGGAAACAAGGGACTGAGGGAAGCGGAAGGGAAGGGAGGGAAATGGGAGAGAAAAATAGAGAGATCTTCAAATGGAAGGGAGCCGTGAGATGGGAGAAGCAGGGAGGGAGAAGACGGAAGGGGAAGTGGACAAAAAAAGAATTAAGATGTGTTATGTTCGTGTCCCCACTTCCCACAAATAACTTCATCCTTCAGTACTTCCAGCATGCAGTAACAAAACTAAAAATTAAGAAAAGAGCCAGCAAGTGACGGAAGAGAGGTTTGAGTCCGGGGAGTGTGGCTGCAGAGTCCAAGTCCTCAACCACTATGTCATGCTGCCGCTCAGAAGACGCCAGTGCACTGGACTTCTGGCACAGACAGAAGCCCATGCTGGGGCGTGGAGAGGAAGCACGAAGGTGTAGACGCTCACATCACATCCAGAACAGCCTTGGTTCTGTGCGCAGAAGCTGAGCATCACAGGCCTTCAATAGCCAAGAACAATTTAAAGCCATTCAGCACAAGTGTATGATAATTTTTCCAACTAAGTTCAGAGGCCTAGGTGTTTGATGCAGAGAAATGCTTATTTAATTCACTCCCTCATTTAGTTAGGACTACAGACTGAACAACTACTCTCTGCCAGGTCTTGTGAATAAAGGAAGTATTAAGGCATAGGTTTTTCTTGTGATGGAAAAAAGATATTTATGTGGCAAAGAGCTTCAAGTCCTGTGGCAGGAGATGCTATGCAAACGCAAACAAGGGAAGCACCACTTGGTCAAGGGCAAGGCCACAAAGGCGCCCCAAAGGTGGAAGGGTTGGGGCAAAGAAGGCTCTAGACAGTGAGAAGCCCAGGGCTGGAGGGGGATCTAGAGAAGTGTCAGAGTCTGGGGCCTGGGCCTCAGTGTCAGGATGAAGCAGGGAAAAATAATCAATGAAAAAGAGAAGAAAGCTTCCACTTGAAAATGGGCCTCCAAAGAAGAGACAGCAAATTATGTTCAATTAAAAAAAATAGCCTTAGACCTGAAAGGAGAGCAGAAACTGTCAGAGTTGGCAGTCACTTTTGACACCCACCAGGGCTCAGTGCAAAACACCTTCCATGGTATTTTAATGGCTGTACCTCACTAGCCTTTAGGTCAAGGGTAAAATAATTTTAGGGTTCCCTTTGGTTTGTTAGTAGAAAAATGAGGAACAGAGACGTTAAAAAATGTAACCAGAGTCAAAGTCAAAACAGAAATGTTCTCTGTCCTCAGAGACCACCTTCATCCAGACCACCTTCATCCATACAGCTGCACACAACCCTGCTGCTCCAAGAAGGCAGAAGAACCATGTGGATCCTGTTTCTCTGTTAATCTTTCAGAATTTGAAGAGTGGAATACAGGCTGCAGGGAGCATTGGAAACAGATTCTACCAGGAGCTCTGCCGCTGTCTTCCTGGGTGCGTTTGGAAAAATCACCTCTGCCTCAGTTTTTTTTTTTCTTTTTTCTTTCTGTAAAATGACAAGCTTTGACTAAGTTTGCAAACCGTTTTAACAACAAAGCCCTTATTTTAAACAAAAATCCACAAAGACCACTGAGCCCTAAGACAGAAAATATACCCAAGCTGAATGTGCTCTGATGGGAAAATCCAGAGCTGAGGAAGATGCGGGGATCACTCACCTTAGGGCTCTGTGGAAAACAGCAGAAAATATTAGGACCTTTCTACACTGGGTTAGGGAAAGGTCGTGAGAGCTGTCACTGTACTTCTGGGCTGCTGACAGAGCAGCTGTAACCAGGAGCAAGCCCGTCTCCTGGAATGAGTCATAGGTTTGCCTGCAGGAGCTCCCGGGCTCACAGCCACTGCTTACCAATCTGCTCAGCGGGCTGCCAGGGCCAGAGGGCAGGAATCAGCCACAGGCTGCTACTGGCTTGGAGCAGCTGAACTGCCGGCGCTGAGGAGAAAATCAGCAGCCAGAGGGACCCACAAAAACACCATCTAACGGGCTCTTAAGCAGAACTTCCAGGGGGCAGTGGAGAAGAGCTCACAGGAGATCCAGAGCCAGCAGGATAAGAGGGATCCCTGGCCAGACCCGGGGCACACAGAGCCCGCTCTCCTGTTTAAATTGCAGAGAATATTGGGAGTGTTTTAAGGGCCCCCGAGGAAAGTGAAAGGGAGAGTGTAGTTCTGGGAACAAGCATGAGTGTCAAAGTTTGACTTTTTCAGTAGCAGACAAATCAGGACACTGAACATTTCTCCAGATAATTAGTGCCGGCAAAGGGAAAAAAAATTGAATAGAAACAATTGCACAACATTTTTCATTCCCCACGAAATGCCAGAGAATGAATGAACTTGAGGGAAAGGAGCGGAAGGGAGGTAGTGTTCGGGGCCAGGTTATAGCTAGGAGAGGACAAGAAACCATAAACAACAACATATGCGCAGTAGACATCCATAAACGACAGAGGATCAGGGGGAAAAAGTGGGTTTGCCCCCTCCCGTACACGTTAGTTAAAAATACTCTATAATTTTCTGGTAAAGTTTCTAGGTCGGTCTACTAGTTTTTTCTTCGCTTAGTCGGAATTTGTTTCAAAACATAACACAGCAGCAGCAGCCCACCCACGCCACCTCGCAGAGGCGGGGAGCAGCGATTCCGCGTCCGCGTCTGCGCGTCCTCCCGCCTAACCCAGGCGACTTCAGCGCACTATAATTACTCCGAGCAAATGCATGCTTGTGGCTGCCGGCAGAGCCCACAGAAATACGTAAACATCGTCATCTCACTTTAAAAGGAAAGCAAGCTGTATAAATAAGAAAAACTGTTCCGAGAGTTAAAAACAAAACAAAACAAAACAAAAAAAACCCAACAGTCTTACTTGGAGTTAGCGCCTGGGTGAGCACCAGTCACAGCGGTGGAGAGAGACAAGGAGCTACCACCGCTCCACAGCTCTCTGAAGCTAAAAACCTCGTCCCGCGGTTATCCTCCGTTTATTTTGGGAGCTTTCAGACTGCCGCCCGAGACCGCTTTCCTGAGGATCCCAGGGAGCGGCCGCGAGGTCCCGCGGCTAAGCCGAAGCCCAGTCCCAATCCGAGTCCGAATGCGGGGCGGAGAGTGCGCGAAGACTCGTGCTGCTCGGGCTGCGGCTCCGTAGTGGCTCCGAGCTTGTAAATACAAGCTCCGTGGACAAAGTCCCAAATGACATCACTGGCAGCTGCTTATTGTTGAGTCTTTATTAACTGACTGTCAAAAAGAAAGGAGGGGGCGGGGAGCGAGAGTATCTTTCCGGCCGCAAACTCCGCATCTAGGAGTAGCTTCCAGCTTTCCTCCTGTAAATAGTCCTGTTGATTCCCACTTCCAAGAGCTTGGCTCCTTGCAGGTCCGAAAAAGCCAGGGAATTGCCTCCGCGGACGCGCGCCGGATGGCTTGCAGATGTGGAGGGAAAGTTTGAAGGCCTCTCAGGTTGTTTACCCACCTGCTTTGGGCCTTGCTCCAGAGTTTGCCGATTCATAAATATGTGAAGATGGGTTGCGTCTTACATGGCCCAACAGCTTTTACTGTGATCTACCTACTCGGCTAATGTTTTCTCTAGATGGAGTTACTTGGGTTGCAAAAATTTTTCCCCCCCGATACACTCTATATTAAAAGTTTCTCAAGTTGAGGTAGAACTCTGAAATCATGAGGCAAAATGTTGTATTTTTTTTCCAATATGTAATATTTTTAGGAAGAATGACGGAAGCTTTCCTCCAGTTCTTAAAATTTTAATGAACTACCTGTGCCACACACACTCAAAAACAAACAAAAAAGAATAATTAAGAACCTGTCAAGTATCACAAACAATCTCAAAGAATACTGCCATCTTTACTCACTTTCGATTATCAGAAGAAAGGTGGGCCCTCTCGTTTATTTTCTGCTCTTTCAGGCTCTCTTCTTCTACGAGCCAATTTTCAGTTTTTATGGCTGTCTCCCCACAAGCCTGGTACCCCGCTTAGGGGCATTCCACACATCTAACATACGTCCTGCCTGAAGCTCTCACTCCCAGCCACTGTTTTCCTTCCTTCCTCTGGACTGCTGTAAAAATGCTTACTATTTATATTTATTTGCTGCTTTTTATATACCATCTTGTATTTTTAGTTTGTTAGCCATCTGTGTTCTGTCTCCCCAACTCAGTTTGCACAGGCTTTCAGAGCAGCCATTGTGTTGTGTTATTTATTTGTTTACGCCCAGATCTCCTGCCACAGTGGATTCTAAGCAGAAAGGCAGAGGGGGAGAATGCAGAGGGCAGAGGCAGAAAGTTTAGCAGATCCCATAGAACATGGAACAGGTACATGGATAGATGAACCACCACCCTCCCAGCCCTTGAGAAATAATGACCTCACACTCTACTACTCACCCACAGCAGGTGCTTGGCTATGTCTGCAAATCACTTCCTCGAAGAACAGCAATTGATTATTGATTTGGTAGAATCTCGAGATCCCCCAGTATGACACTTTCAGTGGAGAATTAAAGACAGTCCAGAATTAAAGTCTGTCACTAATAGGTCTTAAACGAGCACAGTGTTAACCAAAGTAAATTATAAATGTTAAAAATTTATATGTACAAATTCTTGGATGCAGCAATCCCACTTTTTCACAGTGACCCCACAAATATGTTCAGCACTAGGCTATAAGCATCACAATGTTCTCATCATTATTCATTATCCAACAAGGTTGGGACCTCTTACAACTCAGAAATATGAGGAAAGGTAAACTGGGATAGCTGTGCACTTGCTCACAAAGCAAAGGCTGACAGGTGCTTGTCGAGAGTCTAAAGAAAGGTGCAGAATAGATAGAATAGGGTCCATGATGAGAGAAATTATACAAATTGTTGATTATCCTTGGGAAGAGGTGGGAAGAATTGTTTCTTTTGGTATGGATTGATTGTTTTTAATAATCATGCTGTTAAAATAATTTTTGTTAGTAAAACAAATTTTAAAAGACACTATATAATTTCCAAAATATATCCCATGGAGAAACTTAGCTATTCATTTACAAAATGTTTGATCTATAGTAGGTATGCAACTGTTGCTTGAATGAATGTCACTGAAGTACATTCACCAGTGTATAGGTATAGAATTTTGTAAAAAGGAGGGGGAACCAGCTATTGGGTTTTATTTGACTCAGACTGACTGTCTTCCCATTTCATTTAAGAACTAATTTGAAAACCTCTTAGACTTTGTCCACCTTAAGCAATGATGACACTTAAATATTCAGAACATAAAGGGCTGAACTTTCCTTGTGCAGTTGCTGTTTGACAAATAGAGCTTTAAGGGAAGACAAGTATGAGTCACTTGGTTCAGTTCCCTGGGTGATCACAAGCACCGCAGATCAGTTAGGAAACTTGCCCTGGTGAAGGTCTGACCGCCTCCCAGTCCTGGCTCTTTTACCTTGACCGCACTCCAGGGGGAGATGAGTGAGCAAAGCCTGACCCAAGGTGAGTAGGCCCAGCTGTACCAGGGAGGGAGAAGTGGCTTATTCAGTGTTCCCAAGTGACAGCAAAAAATCCCAGGTCTGCAACCCTCCCTAGGGCCTACGGGACTCTGTAGTGGAAACTGCAAGGCATAAGCCATACATTAGTGCTATGTGTTTCTTTAGAGTGGAAAAAAAGTGTTCAAGAAAGAGAATGACTGAAAATTTCCACCAAGGTAGGATGGGCTATTTTTTAAAAAAAATTTCTATTCCTCTGGAAAGCACACTGGAGTCTTGTCTTACTCATAGTGAGAATATATCTCATGTCTGTAATCATTTGGCAAAAAAGAAAAAAGAAAGCATGCCTATAGCTCGTGCATGTTTGTTTGTTTTGTTTGTTTTTAACAGTCCAACAGTGATAGGAACCTGAGTCAGGATTCTGTTTAAATCACACATTTGGATCCCCTTGGGTGTGATACGGTTTCTACTTTGCCAGGCAAGAGGTGAATATAAGTGATTAACTTACAACTTTGTGTAAAAGCAGGGGGAAGGTGAGGGTGGATGGGAGAAAGGCAGGCCTCTCACCATGTGGTCACTAATGCAGCTGCCAGAATCCCCTCCACCTGGGGAGCGTGCCCCTGGCCCTGAGACCAGCCCTTACCAGTCCAAGACTACCAAAGGCAGATACACATCTAGTGACTTGTTCATTTTCTTTAAAAAATAAGTCTCACAGCATTCTTCACATTGAAGTGCTTTCTGTCTTTTTTTGGGGGGGGTACTGGGGATAGAACTTAGGACCTTGCCTTTGCAAGGCAGGTGGCAGAAACCCTGAGCTAAATCCCCAGCCCTATTTTCTGTCTTAAACGAGAAAAATTTCTAGTGTGAAAGACTATAATCAGGGCTGCATGGTGTAAAAAATAGCCAAGGGTCCCATGCAGCTGATTCCTAGTGATGATCTTGTATCACTAGGGACCTACCAAGCCCATCATCACAGATTGGTTTCACCTCCAGTGTCTGATTCCCCTTTCTCTTTTCCTCACTTCCATACACGACAGTACCACTGCCCATTTCTTAAACACTTTTATGTGCCATTTGATTTAAGGGCATCATTTAACTTACCCTTAAAATAACTGAGAGAGTGACGTGCTATTTTCATCACTCCCATTTCACAACTGATGGAATTGAAGTCCAGAGAGATGTTATTGAGTATCTTGACTGTGATCACACAAATAGCCAGCAGTAGAACCAGCACTTCAACTCAGCTCTGCCTGACCCTGCAGTGTCCCAGGGAGCCCTGGATTCATCCAGTGACTATAAGTATTATAAAGAAAGTTGGTATACTAGTATGAATAGTAAAACATTGGAAACAGAAGCATGTGACTATTATTACAATAACCTGTTCTGATTCCTACATACCAATATCAAACAGGATACATTCAACAAAGTTCAGATTTCAACTCCAAACTGATGTGACTACTGCTTATTTAGGTAATCCAGCCTCTCTGTTGAGCTCCCCCTAAAGAAGATAATGCCATTGGCCTCAATAACAGGTGCAAAGGACATCTGCATCAGACTCACAGGGCTTAGTTCTGGAGCATCCTGAGGGAGTAAACTCCCCATACCTTTGAAATGCACAAGATCCCCTTTGGGAAAGGAGAAAATATCAGAAGGCGGGCATTTAAACATATTTGCCATCTACTTTTCTTCACACCAAGAGTCTTTAGTTATGAATACTCCTGTGCTTCAATAAGCATTTCTTCTCCCAGAGCTAAGGGTTCTAAAAGGCTTAGGAAAAAGCCTGTGGCCAGCCAGTGTACCCTGGAAAAGATAACCTGATCAGACGTAGGAAGCAGAGGTGATTCCAAGAGCATAGAAACAAACACCTCAGCATCCACCAAACAAATCAACACAACTTTGAGGGACTGAATCTGTAGGGGCCTTGAGAATCCCTCATGCTGAGAACATGGTTCACATCATTCACATGTAATGGTCCTTAGACCATGTTTTAAGAAACACTGGTTAAGAAACAAGAGAGGGAAGTATGAGGTTTTCTTCAATCAAAATTTTGAATAAATACCATGTAGCTTTTTTCCAGTTGTTTAGGAAAAGACACTATGATCAATTAAAAAATTCTTGGTGAGCACTGCCTACACTAAGTCCTACCTGACACAAAGCTGATGCACAAAGCACAACTTGGTAACGACAAAACATTTGCCAAATTGATAGCCCTAAACACATAGTGGGATAAAGATATTAATTGGCATTAGTTACTTCAGTTGCCATTGTAGTTCACATAGGTAAATCAAACGAAAACAAGACCCAGCCATAAAGTGAGTATAAGGAGTTCCTACACAGTTCAGATTACTCAGTAATGACTGCTTTGATGTGTTTCGTGATGTATTAAATTTCAAGCCCTTTTTCTCACTGGAGGAGTGTGGGATGCTTGCCAACACCATCAATATCTGTGTAGCCTGTCTGTTGGGCTGCAGACACTTTCAGGACACCAAAGTCCTTCGGAGAAGGGGCTGAGGTGGCAATGCTGGAAGGGAACATGAAAGGAATTTGTAAAATTGACCTCCTCTGAGTAACATCTGAGACCTGATGATTTTTTTTCCAAAAAAAGAAGTGCTATCCCCGCATCTGTTTTCTTTTTTCAACAAGCACAGGCTTCGGGTCCAGCCCAGGGAGGTACAGTGAGGGTTAAAGTTCCTATAATACCGAAGCCTCTTAATGAAAGGCCCAGTGTAAGTATAAAGTATCACCGTGAAGGTGGAGGATTTAATTTCAGCCTTCGCTTTTTGTTGTTGGCAGTGCCTGCTGTGAGTTTGACATTTTTAACTATTTTGCTCGCCCCAAATAAAAAAGGCTGGGGAAGGGGAGGTGGGAAAAGGGACAG